AAGTGTAATATCAGATAAAATGTATAATACAACTATTCAAACAATGAGAGATGAATCTCATAGACATATTACTGTGAATGTCAAATGAAAATTGATAAATAATCACTGCTATTGATTATGCTACTGACTGACCAGTTGTGAAAGCAGTTTCAGAGATGATAGAGAAGATGATGATGAAGTTTCTACATAATGAGATCTATATCAACTATGAAATGCTGCACAAGATTCTAACTGATAACAGTGTAAATCTTGTAGAAGAAGTGATGAGGCATTTTATAAGTCAGTTACAGATAAGACATTGTAGAACAATGTCATATCACCCGCGGATGAACAGGAAGATGAAATGCTTGAATGAAATCTTGAGCAACATGCTGATGAAATATCTAGTGAGCAAGTCTATGAGACTATGAGATGAATATCTCAGACAGATGCTATTGACCACACGGATTCAACAGTATGCAGTCTTCAAGTGTTCATCATTTTACCTGTTATATGAATTGCATCCGTGCATCCTGAAGAATGCTTCAGAAAAGATAAGAGAGAAAACAGCAGTTGCAGATGCAACAGTCGCGGACACAGCAGAAACAGCAGTTATGAATGCAGCAGTAGCAGTTGCAGACGCAACAGTTGTGAATATGAAATCAAGATTGAAAGAGATCAGTCACACATGTGCAAAAGCTAACAAGTTACTCCTGAACTGAGCAATTCAATTGAAAAGAATATGAGACTCACTTATTAAGAAATTGAGTCTCAAGATGAGAATATGAGTTCTTATATATAATAAGAGTTCTGAGAAGTTTCAATCTAGATGATTTAAGTCATATAAAATACTCAAATCACATTCTCTGAAAATGTATGTATTGAAAGAATCAGAGGGACAGATCTTACACAACTTAATCAATAATTTATAACTTATGAAAGCAAAGATGTAAGACCTGAGTGAATTATAATCATTCACAGCACTATCATCAGTGTTGAAAAAGAAGAAGCTTATAATTGAAAAGTCTCACAAAGTAAGAGAAATCATAGACACTTACAAATCAGATGATCTCACTTATTCTGATCTTTTCATAATTATAAGAAAAGAATGAAAAGAAATGAAGAAATTAGATAAATATCACACTTTAATAAGTGATGAGACTGTAGCTGATTGTATAATAATGTACTGCAGACAGTGAGTGTAACATAGTAAAGAGTGATCTCAAAGCAGCAGACTTGCATGTGAGTCAGATCACAGAAGAAAAAGAAATTCAGAGTTAAATTCAACTGTTTACATCAGTTCAATTGCAGAGACTACAGAGAATGAACTATCTGAAACATTCACAGATATATAAGATTAAGTCATCTTGACTTCTGAGAACACTCAGAGATCAGATGAGATTAGTTTTAATAAGCTGTTCACTGTAGTGATCTGAGCAGGTGAAGAGAGACAGTATAATATGTGAGACAGAATTACAAAAGATGAAAGCTACTGAATCTAGTCACTGAACACTGTATTATATAGAGATCATATAAGAGTAGTGACTAGTAGATAAAGAAAAAGCATAAGAAAAGAGATGATAAATTGATCATCAACTGTAAGAATCAGCTGTAAAAGACAAATGTTATTATACATATCTCATTCATTTTCATACACTATATGTTAATCTATTTTTAATGTCACATCATCTGAAAAATGTCAAAAATAAAGGAAATCTCAAAACTTGAGATCTGCAAGAGATTCAAGAGTCATAAGTCACTCTTATAACAACACTGTACACATCTCTGATTTCTCTACTGCTCTGTATACAACATTAATGTTATTTATTACAAGATTAACTGAAATGTCAATATAGAAATGTGCATGCATATACATAGAGAAATTGAAGAAGAGTATGAGACTCACAGAATCAGAAGCCAGAGCAGAGAGAGCAGAGATGAAAGAAACAGAGAAAAGAGAAGACACAGAATCAGATGAATGATGACAGAAGTCACTCAGAGCTGAATACTTATAACTCAGTGTATACACAACCTTCTCTGCAGAGAAGAGGGAGAGAGAGAAAGCAACAGTAGAAGCTTAAGAGTGAGAGAAAGTAGTCTCAGCAGTGTTATTATCTTTGATCAGAATGATCTCTGATGCTGAAGTAACTAAGAATTATTATTAGTGTATAAAAATTGCAAAAGCAGAGATAACAATTATCAAATGAACACTCACTGATCTTAGAATTGTACATATAATTACAACACACACAAGACTTCTCAGAAAGAGAGAGAGAGACATGAGAGAATGCAGAAAGCAGAATGCAGCATGTGAATAACTCATTTTCATAATAATATCTCAGACAAGATGTATGAGCCTCATGTCTGCAGGTGTAAAAGAGTATAACATTCATATTCTTATTTCTGAAAACACAGATATCTTTTACCTGCACCATGAAATCAGATAACAGATGTCAGAGAATAGACTGATACAGATCTATTATTCTGAAGAAATTTATCAGAGTAGATATCTCTGCAATATTAAACTTTACAGTTGTAAAAAGCTTCTTGATATCTGTAAATGCTATAACTTCATACACAGTAAAACTCATAACAATTTTCTCTAAGAATAGAAAAATCAGTATCAGAAAGAAAAGATGAAAAAGAAAAAGACTTATAATCTTGATACTGTTGAGAAAGAAGGTGATTCTCTGATATAAATGAATAATTGTCTTATTACAAATATTTAAAATAAATATAATAATCAGTGTTCATAACTGAGCTTCAGATAGTTATGTTATATACAGTCTTTATATAATAAATTATTCTGAGAGTTGATAAGAAGAGTGAGAGTGTACACACTGAGAGAGATAATTCATTAAGTCTATATAATATCTCCTTGAAATGGGGAGAGCTGATAACAAAAGCAGAGATGATAAAACCAGGAGTAACAGAAGTGAGAATTGCAGGAACAGAGGTAGCAGAAGAGAAATCAGACACAGAAGCAGATGTAGAAGAATAAGAAGAAGCAGTAGAGAAAGAAACAGAGAAGACAGAAGAAGATATAGAAGACTCAGTCACATATAATACAGATAATTTCTTCATTATCATGTTCTTCAGATTCTCAATCAATGATTTAATATTGAGTTCACTATCATTAGTGAATATGAATCTGTTAATATATAAAGATTCTATATGAATAAAAACAAATATCAGCATCTGTGTTTATATAAAATTGTGTCAGAAAACATGATCAGAAACTCACTGAGAAGAAAACAGTTGAGAGTATATAAGAAGATAAAGAAGATATATCATCATTCATAATAGTACATTCTGATAATCATTAGAAGATAAACAAGTTCTGATTATATTTCACAATGCATTACACTTACTGCTAACAAACTGTCTGATATGAGCACTACAATAATGCTTGTTATGGAAATGAGAGATTATTGTCAGAAATGTGTACAATGTGATAGAGAAACAGATGAAAAGAGTTGAACAGAAGAAGAAGTAGAAATCTTGAATGAGATAGTAATATTTGATGATGACAATAATGAAGATGATAATTGAAGAATGAGAAAAGTTAGTGAATGAGTGATGTAATATAGTGAAAGTTTCTTTGTAAGAGTGTACACAGAATACTAGTCAAATCAGAGATAGGTCATATAATTGTGAAACACTAGTAATGAGCTAATCTGCATGAAGCTAGAATGTATGACATGGTCATGTGAGTGTGACTGAATCTGGTGAGAGAGAATGTGATTTGAAAGAATGTATGATCATTGAATAATAACACAGCTGCTTCCAAACTACTAGTGTACGCGTACAAGTGTAAAGGGGCCATAGCATACACTAATTAATTTAGTGTATGAGACTACAATATAAGAAGCCAGTGTACGCCTGTAATCATACACTGACTTAAGCAACCTTTAAATCACAACTATAATAACTTATGATAATCAGATCACTGAATATACCTATATAATAATCATAATAACAATAACAATAAAATGATAAAAATATGAGAAATGAGACCTCACAGTGTTCAGATGACTGAGGGGGTAATACAGATACAGAAAGAACAGATTTAAGTGTTTTTTCTTACATATTCATGTATATTTGCATGTATAAAGCTAGTTCTTATGAGAAAACTAGACTCTACTTTGTGTAATTAATTATTATTACAGATTTGAATGATTTAAATGCTTTTAACTGCATGAGTTAACTGGTCTGTATAGTATGAGAGAGTGTTAAGACTACTACACAAGCTCTAACTCTTACTCATGTGACTCACACATATATATTTAGCTTTCACTAGCTACTAGTTAGATAATAACAATCAATCATATTCAACCTCTCTCACATTTACATTTGTAAGTGTGTTCAGAAGTGACTGTATTATTATTCAGTGATTGTATATTCTTCTGAATCACAGTATCTGTGATTTTCAATAGAGAATGATATCAGTGAATAAGACAGTTTTTAGAATTAGTAATTATATAGATTAAATTCAGTGATATTATCAATATGATAATTGATTTTTTCAGTTTATTACTTATTTATGATGATTTCATCATTTATTCATCATTATACTATGATTTACAGCTCAGTGACTGTGTCGCTGATTGAAATGATGAAACAACCATAATCCGGTCGTGTAATAACCCTACGTTCTTCCCATATGAATAGAATGCTAGGCGGCTAGATTAGTGTATAATCAATCAATCTTTCAACTTCATCAGCTTCTTCTTCAGTAGAAGTCAGCTTTTGATTCTTTTGTTGAGAATTCTTGTATATGGTTCAGTCATATAGTCAGTAGAATAGACTGAATAAAGGAACATTGTATGCCTTGACAACAGTCTGCAGACTAGAAATTTGCTTGGTTTTATAAGCATTAATGACTAAAAGAAGCCTTCCTTGATGAGAGGCTTGATCTTTTGTTTTTGTAGGCATATTGAATAATTTGATGAATGAGATTGGTTGGGGTGGAAGGGTGTTCTGTTATGTTACATATACTTCTATTATAATAGAGAACTCATGTCAACTCATACAAAAGGTACCTTTATAGTTGCGGTGACATTACGCGCTTGGCACCGTTAGAGCGCGCCGCATAGGTTTGAAGTTGACTGGATGAAATTGCAATTCATCATTACTCTATGACTACCGACAGATGCCTACCTAGGTAGGTATATCTACAACCCTATTGAACGCCTTTACTTTTAACTCCAATACTAAATCAAACCATATAGCGAACTTGGATGCCCTTTGCAAAGCAAATTTCCACGCTTTTATACCGAGATCCATGGAAATAGTCTCAGGCGTAGCTCCCGCCAGAGTGCTTGCTGGGTTAGTTGGCCCCGATCAACTGCATCACGATTCTCGTCTGCCCGCCGTAGTAGATACATCATGCACTCCTCTGTTGTTCCCCATACGGCATATTTAAAGACCTGAATATCCTCTTCGATAACGTTCTAGAGTATGGACATGATTTGTCAGTTTATCTCTATGAACGGCAACTTTCAATAGACAGAGAGAGGGATCCGCGAGGGGGCATACCTGTCTTTTCTGTAAGAGACCTAGAGACAGCTCATCTGCCATGCCCATTAGCTGGGCATAGACAACTTCTGCCAAAGGCAGTTGTTTTTGCATTTGCTCTTGCCGCAGACTCCGCATCATCTCCACGCTTTGCGAGTTATGTGTGGCCAGCATCACTCCGATTTTAGGTGCAGAAGGATCACCAAGATGCTGCGTCGCCAGCATTCGCGCTGCATCGTCGTAAGCGCGGTCTGTTTCTTCTCTGGAGTCGTGAATCAAGTGGCGTGGGTCACTCTTGAGGTATGCACCCCGAACTAGTTTTACGCCAAAGGCGAATTTACCAGAGCGTGCGCGTTCGAGATGTCTTGTAAGAGTCGCGGTGGACTCTTTAAGGTACCTGCTTCCAAGTCAGCAGCGCGAAACTAAGCTTGAGAATTCGAGAGGTACAGTTGGTGCTTAAAACGAACATTTGATAGGTGTTGTACACAACTAAATTCCCATTTTGGTTATATTTCTCCATGAGGTACATCGTCCAAGAATCAATACCCGCTTGCTGGGAATGGTGCTCAGCGTCAATCAGCAGCCTAACGCCTCGGGATTTGGCGGAGTCACAGATCTGCGTCAAGGCTTCTGCCATCGCTGCATCTGGTGCCAAGCCAGCTTCGAGCAAGCGTACACATTCCGGCCCTGCTCCCGTGAATTTTAACGCAACGAAGTCACCAGGGCTCGAATAATGGACCCCTTTCAGGGACCCTTCTAGCCACTGAGTAACATGCCCTTGATGTGAGGTTTGATGTTTAGCTTCACTGTCAGCTTCAGCGGTATTCGAGAGATCTACCTCACGAGCATATGCTGTTATCACGCCCTTGAACCCGAGTGCCTTTAGGTCGCGAACCGTGTTCTTGATCTCAGCCTCCGTGCTTCCCGCACAGAACTGGGCGTAGAAGATTTTATCCAGGAGGAATCTCAGCGGGAAATTGCTCGTCAGAATTTGAATATTCCGTTGAGCCAAAGCTGATGCAGCGCCCATTACATACGGCTGCGACATGGCGGCCTGCATGACGATACCCCTCAGCAGGGCAGCCGTTGGCAATCTTTCTAGGGCACGACGACGCCTTGGGTCATCGTTCAGTGGGGACGGTGGTGGTCCGTCCCACGTTGCGCTTGTTAGAGTCCGTCGTGGCCCGGAGGCAGGCAGGTGCATTGATTGGGAGAGCTGGAGGGGGATTAAACGTGGAAAACTATTCTTGATAGTGGTGATACGGCAAGGAGAGCGGAGATGAAGGGCCATGTCACGACAGCGGGAAAGTTTGATAACTCTGGGGGAATAAGCTGTGGGAGAGTTGGACGCTGAGCCAAAAAATGGGTGAACAGTGGGAAGGCCATTGTGGCCATATATGAAATATATAGTCGGGGTTGATAGTGGTGATTCGTGGGATAACAACCAGTCGGGACTCCGTGTTTTCCCGTGCCTCTTTTTTGATTTTTCTTTTCCTATTTTATTTTTCTTTGACACATACAAATTCAACAAGCGTTATCTTGTCCCGGATTGACTCGTTTGGAAGCGGAATTGCCCTTACCCAGCATTGACTAAACGAGCCTCTCCGGGCATATCCTTTGAATTCCGGGTGGAGTCATGTGACGTCCCTCTCCGCTGATATTCCGTGGACACAACCTTGGCAGAACCGCGAATTGTGCGAATGGTTATGGCGAATACTATGCTGGGTTAGTTATATAGAAAATGTGGGGTTGCGATCAATTCGGAGACCTTGTCACCGTGCTCTGTATCACAGGATAGATGGTATGTGAATTCTGTTTCCCTGGCCCCTTGGTTCTAGACTGTATCCAGTGATTCCATCATCCTTTGCCTCAAGTTCCAGCAGTACAGTGACAGCGCCGATGGGGGTGCCTGGGGGCCGGGATCCCGCTATCGCCAGCTAAGCAACTCCAAGATGTCCCTTAGTGTGAGGGGAAGCTCAGTTAACCCTGCACCAGCAGCTGCCATCCGCCCTATAGGAGAATTCTCTAGTAACATTATCTTTGTAGTTCATCAACTTGGCCACTCCTTGGTATAACTATTATTCCTTTGTAACGGCAGCTCGGTTATTTTGATTCAATGACAAGGTTATTTACATAGAATATATAATATCATACTTCCCACCTCCCTTTGCTTTATTTCTCATTTCCCTATCTTCATTTCTCACCATTCAACCTGTACTCTCCTCTTCATTCCCCGATCTTTCTTTGAGCCAATACACAGACATAATGCATAGACTGCCAACCCTCTCCTCCATTTCGGCGAAGCAGACCATCCCCATCGCTTCTACCACACGGTTGGCTCGTAGTTTTGGCGGTTTCGCAGGTTTCAAAGTTCCCAGGGCTCGGAATGAGCCAAATGTACCTCTACCTCTGGGGCCATTCATTGTATTCTTTTGGTCATTAGCTAACCATGTATCCTGCATTTAGCCAGACTATGGCAAGAATTCCCCAGAGCGGTTGGGCCTGGAAAATGCTCTGAAGTCTATGAAGCAAAAACTCCCGCTCGAGGTCCCAGCTGTGATCGCGGGTAAAAATGTAAGTTAATTTAGCCTCCATAGCATCTACTCCGCCTAATCCATGTTTTCTTGTTTCCTAACTAAAATGTGCTATCTAGATTAAACCATCCAAACCATCTCGACAACCAAACCCGTCTGCGCATGCTGAAGCGGTGGCTGAATATTATAATGTTTCAGAAGAGAATGTTACCCAAGCGATCGAGGCTGCGCTGAAAAACAAGCCAGAATGGGAACGGCTCAGTTTTGCAGACAGAGCTTCTGTTTTCCTCAAGGCCGCCGATCTTGTAGCTGGCAAATACCGCTACGATATCATGGCTGCCACCATGCTTGGTCAAGGCAAGAATGCCTGGCAGGCTGAGATAGATGCTGCTGCAGAGCTGGCAGATTTCTTACGTTTCAACGTGCAGTATGCTGAGGAACTCTATGCCCAACAACCCCAGCACCATGCAAACGGTGTCTGGAATCGTGTAGAATACCGCCCCTTGGAAGGCTTTGTCTATGCTCTATCCCCTTTTAACTTTACAGCCATTGGCGGCAACCTGTGTGGCGCGCCTGCACTCCTTGGCAATGTTATTGTATGGAAGCCATCGCCGTCATCAATGGCTGCGAGCTATCTCATGTACCAAATCTTCCTCGAGGCAGGCCTTCCCCCTAACGTCATTCAGTTCGTGCCAGGAGATGCTGAGATGGTTACCAAGGTTGCACTAGGCCATAAGGAATTCGCTGCTCTCCACTTCACCGGCAGCACAACCGTTTTCCGCTCGTTGTACGGAAAGATTGCACAGGGAATCGCAAATGGCATCTACCGAAGCTATCCTCGCGCTGTTGGCGAAACCGGTGGCAAGAATTTCCATCTAATCCACCCTTCCGCGGATATTAAAAATGCTGCGATCCACACAGTCCGTGGTGCGTTTGAATACCAGGGTCAGAAGTGCAGCGCAACCTCTCGTGCATATGTTCCTCAATCCCGCTGGCAAGAGTTCAAATCTGTGCTTGTGAGTGAAACTACAGGTCTCAAGTCTGGTCCACCAGAAGATTTTGGGAACTTCATGGGACCTGTTATCCATGAAGCATCTTTCAAGAAGCTTGCTGGAGTCATCGATGCTGCGAATAACGATTCTGGCCTTGAGTTGATTGTGGGCGGGAAATACGATGGCAGCAAGGGGTATTTCATCCAGCCTACAATCTATGTCACCAAGGATCCTCACCACAAACTTATGTCTACCGAGCTTTTCGGGCCGGTCCTTGCTGTTTACGTTTACGACGATACTAAAGCTGAGGCATTTGAGAAAATCTGCCAGACCATCAATGGTACCTCGGAGTACGGACTCACTGGATCAATCTTTGCTGTGAGAAGGGATGTTATCCGGTACGCCGAAGAAGCACTCAGGAACACGGCCGGAAACTTCTACATTAATTGCAAATCGACTGGTGCTGTGGTTGGGCAACAGCCATTCGGTGGTGCCCGCCAGAGCGGAACCAACGACAAGGCCGGGAGTGCAGCCATCCTGAGCAGGTTTGTCAGCATGCGTTCGATCAAAGAGGAATTCTCGCCACTTTCTCAAACCATATACCCTAGCAACGAGGTTTAAAAGTGCTTCACGCTTAATATTTCCCTCAAATGATTGATGTTTCGCATGAAGTATTGCGAACTCACCAGCAAGACTGGGGACGACACGCGACGGAGAGTGTCCCCGAGTAATGTCTACATAGAACCCTGAACGCCAAGTCGCCGTCGTCGGTCGAGAATGGTTGGAAAGGGCTTGGAAGTAGCGGGGGAAGCAGATGCGCAGGGCATCTAAAGTTTTTTGGTGCGAAGATTTGGTTCTTAGTACATGTACGTACATGTACATAGATATTCTGTAATAGTTCGGGATTAACACATAGAAAGCTAGATAGATAGCTCATCAGACTCTTCAAAAATAATATTTGTCACTTGTTCAAACCATGTGGTCTATATCCTTGTACAGCGTAGTTATGCCAATCTCGATGCTGAGATAGGAGGCAGCAAGGTGATTTGAAAAAGGGAAACAAAAAAATGGAAAAGAGAAGGAAAGGGGCCAAAAGAGATGGTGACGAGAGAAGGAAAGAGGCCGAAAAAGATGGTGACGAGAGTGGGATTCGAACCCACGCCCCTTTCGAGACCAGAACCTTAATCTGGCGCCTTGGACCGCTCGGCCATCTCGCCGTCACTTGATATCCATTTCGCGCTATCTGGCTACTGAATAGACTGACCGTGTGACCGTGTCTGGGACCAGAATCAAACTTTACAGTTGTCACATTGCCTAAAAGTATTACTTCTGATCATGATTTGTATTCATTACATTAATCTTAAATCACATTATTTCAAATATTAAAGATTTCAGATTCACTTTTTAAATAAAAATCTAGTCTTAAATAAAGAATATATTTAAATTCTTAATTACATTTTTATTCTGATCTTATTATTAAGAATGATATTAAATAAAACTATGAAATTATTTCTCACTTATATAATATTATAATATAGTACTCATTTGTTGAAAATTCAATAGAAAGTATTATCAAATATTATTACTTTTCTAAATATATATTATAATTTATATAATTTTAATTATAAAAAAATATAAAATATGAAAAATAATAAAAAAAATAAATAATAAAATAAAAACAAGAAAAAATCACAATGAAAAAAAAAAGAGAAAGAAAAAAAAATAAAAAAATGAAAAAAATAATGAAGATAATTAGTTGTATTATTAAGATCTATCTATTATATAGTCTATAATATATGTAGATATTTACTAAGTAATCAGTAAATATCTCACTTAGACAGAAGTAATCAGTCTGTAGAGAGAGAAATTTAATATTCTTCTTAACTACTACTCTACTAAGTAGATATTTACAACTTAGCAGAGTGATTTTATAACTGAAGAAAGAATATTATATACAAAAATAGTAGTGTCTTCTGTCAAAGGTTCTATGAAGAATTAATAAGAATTTGAAGAATAAGAAAATAGAGAAAACAGTAAGATAAATAAATAAATAAACTACTGTAGAAGTAGTGAGTTAATAAGACTCTGTATTTATTAAGATATCTTCAGAGCTTTTCTGACTGTAGATGTTCAGATCTCTATATTAATCAGAGTATCTTTATAAACTTTAGTTATTAGAGCTTTTATTAGAGTGTCTGTAGTTATACTGATAATATCTATCTATATAATTTTAACAATGTCTGAAGCTGCAGTATCGCGGATATAATAATATTTAATATTAATATAGTGTATATTGTTAGTAATCTTTTCACTGTTTACTATAGCAATTACTTCATTATTATCAATATATAGAAGAACTGTAAAATCAGAGAGTAGAAATTCAAGCTTTATAAGTAATTATTATTATTATTATTATTATTATTATTCTTTCATTATACTTATATACAAGTGAAGCTTATGATGAGTTCTTGCATGATGTTAAATACAGGCCAAGTATTAATTATACAGAAGGAAATACAGGTGTTAAGATCACATTAAGATAATAAGAACATAGGAAATACAAAGAAGTAACAATTAGATACATGCGATAATAACTTCTCAGCTCAGGAATATAGAGTAATTTTATTAAAGCAATTTATACACCTCTGTATTTATTAGAAACCTGAGATGCTTGAGTTTCAGATTTAATGTATTCTCTGCGGGTTTCAAACTCACACATCTTGATTTCTCATGCCAAGGTGCTACTGAGTGGCCGCATTAATCATTCAGTCACCGGGGCTTTATAAGTAATCTGTGTAGTCAGATTACAGTTTTAAGACTCTCAGAGACAGATATATACTCTGCTTCTATAATACTCAGTATTATAATTATTTACTTAATGAATTTTCATGTGATTAATCTGTCAGTGAGATAGATAAGAAAACTTAACATAGATTTATAGTCACTGATATCATCTACTCAATCAGAATCTGTAAAGACTTCAAAGTTAAGCTCTTCTACTTCAGTGATATAGTGAATATAGTAATCAGTTGTACTGCAGATGTAGTGAAAGAGCTGTTTGACTACAGCTCAGCATACTTATATAGAGTTACTTAATTAACAGATGAGTTTAGCAGTTGTAAATGTAAGAGGCCTACGCTGAATAGATCAGTATTATATTATACATCTTATATAACAAAGAGAAAAACATTAGAGAAGAAAAGAAAGAGAAAGTGTGAAAATCAGCAATTAAGATGAATATTTATACATGTATGTTTATTATTATTATTATTCTTCAATTATAGATGTATGTAGTCAGAGACTATGACATCTACCTGAGAACTTTTAGTTCTCAGGGTTTTTCCTATGTCTGTAGAGTTAACTATTATACATTCATCAATTTCAGATATGCAAAATCAGAAAATTCCAGCCCAGAATATAAAAACTGTTTACAGATTGCAGTATTTTAACATCTTTTGATACTTTGAAATCATTTGACAATATCATGACAAAGGAAAAGAGAAAAAGAACACAGTCTCAAAGATAGACACATTAAATAGATAGATAGAAAGAAATTGAAAGAAAAAGATAAAGAAAAAGATAAAGTAAAGAGAGACTATAACAAAACAAATTATTAAAAGAGAGTGTATAGCTGTTTCAACAGACTATATCTGATTGATTTCCTCCTCTTCATATTCAGATAATTCTGAATTTAGTCATTTTCTTATAGCTACTTGAGTTTCTGATAGAAAGTCTATTAAGTATTTAATTTCTGTCTCAGTTGAGAATAAGAATCTTATATTTAATTGATTTAGATTATACTTCTTTTTCAATCTGACTCTGAGACTATTGTATAATGCACAGTGTATTACAATATACTCAGGATTCTCATTTATATTGCAGAATGAGCATTGTATTGAGTCAAATCTATCATCAAATCTTTGTATATAAGATTTGAAATAGCCATGTCCTAGTTTCAGCTGTATTATAGATGAGAATATTTTCTTTTTACATTTAATTGAACAAGATTTTCACTTGGGTTTTGTTTCAAATCTTGAATAATGTATACTCTTCTTTTATTTCTGCCAGCTTTCATTTCACTTGTCTAAACAAGATTCTTTTATTTTTCTCTTTATAAAAGATCAGAACACAATTTTTTGAATAGATCTGCTTAATTCTGCACTCTTTTTTACAGCTGAATCAGCCAATTCATTGTCATGAATATTCATATAAGCAGAAACTCAGTGCAGATGTATTATCAGCTTTGATGTTCTTCTCTTTTGAATTTTTAAAACAGAGTTTAAGATCAGTTCAAGATTCATTTGATTATTATGAATCTGACTATTTCTAAGTCTTTTTAAAGCAGCTTAACTATCAGAGAATATTCATGTCTCTTTCAAACTATTTCCTCTTTTATGAGATTTTATTTCTATGAGTTTGAAAGCTTTCACTATTGCAAATAGTTCAGTATCAAAGACTTCAGATTCACAGCCTAGATTCCAGAAATCTGAGATAAAATTGATATTATCTTCAGTATAAGCAATGTCTGTGTCTAATCTATTCAGGTTCTCATTTTTTGAGCCATCTGAATAAATCAGAATAGAGTCTTTTATATTGATTGTAGAAATTCTCTTCAAATACTGTTTATATTCTTTCTCTTTTGATAGTTCACTTATTTGTAAGTCTATAAGAGATTCAAGCTTTTCTCTTCAGAGAGATAACTTCTCATGATTCACTTTTTCAACATTTTCAGAGTTAATTGATGGAAATGAAGAAGAGACTCTTTCTCTGATTATATGATTTAAGCTCATCTTTATAACTCTCAGTGCATAGTTCATACAGGCCTTTTCAAATCTAATAGCAGAAGGGGGAATTGAAGCTTCAATTTCCATTGCTTTAATAGAAGATGATTTGAATGCTTCTAGAATTCTTCTCAAGGCTATGTTTTGCAGACTTTGAAAGATTTCAGTGAAATTTCCTTGATTATTTCATCAAACTTGAACTTCATAATCAGCTACTGATGTAATACAGGCTATATATAACTGTCTCATAGCCTGGAAGAATAGACCTCTCTCTGTATTTAATAGTCTGATTATGTTGTTCAATAGTCTTTCTGCCTTGACAGTTCTTTGTTGAATGTGATATTTAAAATTCAACTTGGAGTTTAACCATACTTCTAATCATTTGACATTTACACTGGGTTTAATCTCTCTATTTAAAAGAGTTAGAGATAGTTCTTTCTCATTGAATCTAGAAAAGAAATGAATTAACTTAGTTTTATTCATATCAAATTGAATTTGATTGATATCTGCTCTAACAAAGATTTTCTTTGTCACTTCTTCAATTACTTTCAAATTCTCTTTGATAGTTTTTGAGCTGTAGACTAGACCAATATCATTCATATAACTCAGAGATTGTACTATTCTCATATTTCTATTTTTGAATAGATATGCAGTGTATATTGCAAATAAAATGAGTGAGATTGAAGATCTCTGTGATACTTCTATTTTTATCTCAGTCTTGTCTTATTTCATTTCATCAAAGAAGAGTTGTATAATTCTTTTAGATATAAAACAGTTAACTCATTTTATTAGAGAAAGTGACAGTTTTAATATCTTCAATATCTGAATTAACTTTGACTTTGAAATATGATCAAATGCTTCTTTTATATCAATAAAAACTGCAGTTGAGATCAGATTCTCATGCTTTGCTATTTGAATATCATAAACAACTGAGAGAACAGTGTCAATTGCAGAACACTGTTTTCTATCTTCTATTTATTCACTGAATAAAAGAGAATTATCTATAGAGCTTATAAAAGATAGTTGAGTAGCTATTATCTTTTCTAAAACCTTTTCTAGGCAGTTCAATAGAGATATTACTCTATATGACTTAGAAATTGAAGTTTTTCTATTAGGTTTTGTAAGAATCACTTCAGTGACTTCTCTTCAGCATTCAGAATGATATCTATTTTTCAAGAGATTGAAAAAGAGCTCAAAATATTCATTCTTTAAGTAGGAATATGTATTTTGAATAATTAAGTGATTAATTGAATCAGGATCTGCAGCAGTTTTAACAGAACTTGAGAAGATAGCTGACTCTAATTCATCTTGTATAAGATCAGGTCATTTTC